AACTAAATAGTAAACAAAAACAAGCAGAACATTTACAGCCTATCAGCAAATCATCTGGACCCCAGCCACGTCTCACCACCTCCTTCCTTCTCTACTGCTTTGGTCCAAGCTGCTACCCTCTCCCACCTGCATTACTGCAAAAGCCACCATTTTATCTGGCTTCCTTGCTTGGTACTAGCTTCCCTACAAACTATATATATATATATATATATATATTTTTTTTTTTTTTTACACACAGTCTTGTTCTGTTGCCCAGGCTGGAGTGCAACGGTGCGATCTCGGCTCACTATAACCTTCGCCCAGGTGCAAGCAATTCTCTGCCTGAGCCTCCCAAGTAGCTGGGATTATAGATGCCCGCTGCCATGCCCAGCTAGTTTTTTGTATTTTTAATAGAGACGTGTTTCACCATGTTGGCCAGGTTGGTCTCTAACTCCTGACCTCATGATCTACCTACCTCAGCTTCCCAAAGTGCTAGCATTACAGATGTGAGCCACCTCACCCAGCCCCTAGAAACCATTTTTAAAGCAGCAGCCAGAGTGATCCTTTTAATGCACAAGTCAGATTATGTTATTCTTCTGCTCAAACCCATTAAATGCATCCCAACTCAGAGAAAAAGACAAAGCCCTTACAAAGGTCTTCAAGGTCCAAAGTGATCTAGTCCAACTATACCCAGTGCATTCTAAGCACCAGCCACAGTACTCCTGGAAGATGTCAATTATGTTCCCACCTCAGGCCTTTGCACCATTGGTTATTCCTTCTTTCTGGAATATTCTTCACGAGATATCTGCACAACTCCCTCCCTTATCTCCTTCTCAGCATGGCCTTCCCTGATCACACCATTTTAAATTCCAGCCACCTCCACAAACCCTCCCTAACTCCCTCACCTGTATGATTTTTTTTTTTTTTGCTTATCAATATCTGACGTAACAGACATTTTATTTTTTTACTTACTGTCTCCACTAACTAAAATATAAGCTCTATGAGGACATGGGCTCTTATTTATTCACTAATGTATCACCAGAAAGGTAGCTCTGAAGGAAAGAAAAAAATTTGGGATGAATAATCAATACTGTTAGGAAAATATGACAGGGAAGTTGGGGAGGAGTACTGGGGGGCTTGGGAGAGAAGGGCTGCAATTTGACATAGAGTGTGCACAAAAGGCCTTAAGAAGGAGATATTTGAGCAAGGACTTGAAGGCAATGAGGGAAGAAATCACTCAGCAAAAATCAGCTATGTCATTCGCCCAGGGCCAGTAAAAAATGAAAGTGTGAGGCCCTTGTTCACAAACTATTAAAAATTTCAAGAGATGACAGCAGGACATTAAACCAAGTGTGAGGCCTTTCTAAGCATGGGGTCTTGTGTGACTACACAGGTCACATGCCCATGAAGCTGGCCCTGCATCCAGCTATTAGGGAAAGACAGATGGAACAGCGAGTGCAAGAAGACCAAGGAGAAACAATGCTTTGGAAACAAGCAAAGCAGCCATCCTTGTTAAAAATAGACTCCGGCCAGGTGCAATGGCTCACGCCTGTAATCCCAGCACTTTGGGAGGCCAAGATGGTTGGATCACGAGGTCAAGAGTTCAAGACCAGCCTGGCCAAAAGAGTGAAATCCTGTCTCTACTGAAAATACAAAAATTAACTGGGCATGGTAGTGCGTGCCTATAGTCCCAGCTACTTGGGTGACTGAGGCAGGAAAAAAGCTTGAACCCAGGAGACAGAGGTTGCAGTCAGCCGAGATCGCACCACTGCACTCCAGCCTGGGCGACAGAGCAAAAGTCTGTCTCAAAAAAAAAAAAAAAAAGCAGAGACTCCTAGACTCCTTTTCTGGATATGCCAATCCCATAGATCCAATGTCAGCTAGAATCCTTTATTTCCAGTTTGCCTCAGGGCACTCCTGTCCTGCCTAGGCAAGTTTGAGGAACATGAATATATTCCCACATCCTGAGATGTGCCCCACTGCCAGTCCTTCAGCACCACTTCAGAAAATGGCTTCCCACCTTGTTGCCCTTATAATCCAGGGCTGGCAACCAGGTCTCCATCTCCACCCCCTGTCGGAGTCTCTGCTCTGGGAACCTCCTCATACCTAGAGTACTACTGGCTCTTACCAGTCCTCCACCAAAGGACTAAAGTCCTGCCTGGACACCCAGCTGGGTGGCTGAGTGGCTGCCATGAAGAGACAGGCTTCCCTGAGAGTTCCTGCTCATCTATGTAGGATTGCCAGACATAGTATATAAAGGTCAACTGTTTGCCTGGACTGACTTAATTTCTAGGCGTAATGTCTTGGGTCTCTAAGCCCCCAATATCTCATTTTGACCCTTTAAAAAAATAATTTAAATATGTTGTAGATGATCTTGCCAATCAACATTAAAAACCTAATTTGCTTGACTTCTTTCTGTTCAGTCAGAAGAAAAATATTTTTCTGTCTTTTTAGTTTCCACCTTGAAATCTCACAGTGAGTAAACCCAATTAATATCTGCAGATATTAGGCCAATGCAGTGGCTCACACATGTAGTCCCAGCACTTTGGGAGGCTGAGGTGGGTGGATTGCTTGAGCCCAGGAGTTAAAGACCAGCCTGGGCAACACAGTGAGACTCCATTTCTACAAAAAATTAAAAAAAAAAAATTAGCTGGGCATGTGGCTTGAGCCTACAGTCCCAACTACTCAAGAGGCTGAGGTGGGAAGATCACTTGAGCAACAGCAGTTGAGGCTGCAGTGAGCCATGTTATTGCACTCCAGCGTGGGTAACAGAGTAAGACCCTGTCTCAAAAACAAAACAAAACAAAACAAAACAAAAACTAAAGCTATTAAAACAAGAATATCACTTCACTGTCATGATAAGTATTATCACTTTCACTGATTCTATATTACCAGTGGAGGAGTCTCTAAAATTTTTATCAACTATAAGCCAGGGCCCAAAATAATGAGAAATATATGTAATAAATCAGTGGTCTTCAGTCACGGGTAAGTTTGCCTCCAAGGGAACATTTGACAATGCCTGAATAGGGGTGGGTGAGTGCTAGAAATCTAGTGCGTAGAGGCCAGAGATGCTACTAAATACTCTACACTGCTACAGGACAACCCTCTACAACAAAGAGTTATCTGGACCGTAACATCAACAGGGCTGAGTTTGGGAAACCCTGTAATGAATTATGTGTCACTATCAATCATAATTCCTGATTCATTATACTTGTGTTTAACTCTTAAAAATCAAAGTCTTTATAAAAGCAATGAAAAAGCTGATTTATACTTTAATTTTAAAAAAGGATAATAAGGTTAAAAGGGTAATGATATTATATTAGACATAACAGGGATTAGAAAGCATTTGATCAAAGGTAGAGAACTGCAGTAGACAGATGTATAGGAGCTATCTATAATCAACTCAAGTGAAACCACAGAGGGCTGTGGGTCTCACAGAGATTGCATGGAAAGACAGCATGGGAAATAACACTCTTCTATATATCATAGATTCCTAGGTGCAGTCACTAGCCTAGTAAGGCAAGATGCCTGTAAACCAGACAGAAAAGACTTTCCTTCTTCAGTAGCCAGGGTGCTAAGAGAGCTCCCAATAAAACTAGGATAAAAATAAGGATGGATATCAGAAGTAATATAGAGAAAATATTACATATTTTCATAAAAAATCATATTAAAGAGTAAATAGAGAAAAGCAAGTGTTTTATCACCGTTAATTCAAGCCAGTCTCAATGAATGATCATACTTGCAAAACCTCCTTACCACTCATCCATCTTCTCATCTGTAAAAAGATTAATTACACCTACCTCCTAGGCTTACTATCAAAGTTAAATAAGATAAAGATGAAACAAGACAAATGCAATGCCTGGCACACAGGAGGCATTCAGCAGAGGGTCGTAGCTGCTGGTATTTCCCAACTTTGCTTTCCTCTGGCTCTGACCCACACCAGGCCCCATTAATGTACATGGAGAATTGTAGTTCTATGTTCACATTTACAGAACTCCCAAGAGGGCAGAATGGGGCTCTCCATAGCATGCTAAAGTCAATACATGACTGTACGGCAAGGTCCTTCCTCTCAAAATATTTAAAGGATAGAAGGACCTGATAGGTAAACACATACTGGCTTAAATGTGCAAAAAACATTACTGATTCGCCCTCATTCGGTAAAGGGCCAGAAAGAGTTTCACTTTAAAAAAAAAAAAAAAGATATAGATAAGATCTTCTTTCTTCCCATTGCTGTCTAAGGTGTTTCGGGAAAGAACACTGAAAATTGATACAGAGCCCAAATGTAAAAAGGCCATCACATAGCTCACAGTTAATTATAAGCAATTTTAATGAAACAATTTGTTCCCTCAGGTTTCCATGTTCTTCCCAGAGGTGTAATGCAATACACCCAAGACACACACACTTATAAATTTGTAACAAACGCAGCCCTTCAGCTTGCCTAGACCACAGTTCTTGGCTGCTGCTTAGCGACAGGTGTCACATTCGTGGTTGCCAGTGAGCCCTGAGGGTGTAATTTCACTTCTACATGAAGAAGCATAATCGATAGAACCAGAATCACTCAGTAGGAACAACTGCACCATTCCTGACTCACGGAGCTTGCTTTCACAGAGAACAAAATTCATCTCACTTGTGCTTTGCGTAAATATAGAGTAGTGTGATGGGTTCTACAAAACGGGTGAAGGTGGTTCCCGAGGGTGCCAGACCCCCGTCCTCTTTGGTCCCCCTCAAGCGACAGATCTGGTCTGAGTCTGGGCGGGGCACCGGGAACTCAACGCAGCTACCTGGGGAGGGAGCCCTGGCGGCCCGCCCCTCCCGCTGCAGGACCAGCTTTGGCGACCACTGCGGTCGCCAGCAGCATGCGCTGAGCCAGCCCGGGGAGCCGAGCCGCCCGGGGACGCAAGCCCCCCCACCCGCGACTCCCCAGCCCCCGACCCCCATCCGCTGTCCCGCCCCTGCCCCCACCCGCACCGCCTCCCGCGCGGGAGCTGCCAGCCCGGGCCGCGGCGGCGCGCCCTGCTCACCGTGACACCGTACTTGAGCGCGATGCCCTGCAGCGTGTCGCCCGCGCGGACCCGGTGCTCCACATGGCGCTCGATGACGCCGGCGCCCAGCGGCGCCCGCACGCTGGCCGTGCTGCCGTACGAGCGGGTCTTGGTGCGGGCCAGGCTCAGCGACAGCTCGGCCTCCTCGGACTCGGAGCCGGAGCGCGGGCGCGGCGGCGGGGAGGGGGCCGAGGGCCGCGGCGCGCAGGGGCCGCCTTCCCGCAGGGACTGTGCGGGCGAGGAATCCGCCATGGGTCCTGCCGAGGCCGCCGGGTCGGGGAGCTCGCCAAGGGGGCGGCGCCTCCTCCGCCGCCGCCGCCGCCTCTTCCTCCTCACAGGGGCCGCGGCAGGCCGTTCCGCGGGGGCGGCTGGCGGGAAGCCGAGGCGAGGAGCGGCAGGCCGGGCATGGCGGGCGCCTCCTCCGCGTCCTGCCTGCCCCGGGCGCCCGCGGCACACGTACCTGCAAGGAGAAGAGCGAAAGCAGCTCCCGCCGCTGCCGGCCCGTACCGGGAAGACCTTGCGGTGCGAGGGAGCGGGGACGCGCTGAAGCCCGCGGCCGTGGGGGCTAAGAGAGGCCCATCTACAGTCGTCCTAGGCCCCGGGTGGACCCCTTCTCCATGCCGACAGAGCCATGACAGAACCCTGCCCTGGCCAAGGAAAACAAAAAAACAAAAAGCGTTGCTCTGCCTCCTTTATTGATTCCCCAGCAGGAAGCAGCTTGCTCAGACCTTCAAGTTCTGCCACTGCCAAGGGTACTTCCCTCCCCTCTACACCAGTAACCTCAAAGTCCACCTCACAGAAAAACTTAAGATCATCAAACACACGCAGCTTCTCCAGGTCCATCTCAACAGCTGCAGCATCCAGTCTTTTCAACATTGCACCAGGAGGGCTAGTGTTTCTAAGGCTTGATGAGTGGCCTCAAAATAACCCCCTAGTTGTTAAGATTTCACTCTTTGCACCCTAGTGCCAATTTAAGTATTGTCTGCCTTGAAAGCCCGACCACATACAATTCATTCTCCCGGCTCAGTTGGAATTTACTATCTCCATTCATCTTCTTTTCATCAGTTTATTCTTTGATACCCTGAAATCACAACCCCCCCATATTAATATTATAACCACCAAAGACCTCTTATCTGTACTCTCATCTGAACACCATCTACTCTGAACACCCTTTGAACACACTGTATGTGCACAGAGTGGGTGCACATTTACTAGAATCTAGTGCCTGGTTTCTGTTGTATTTTGGGTAGCTCTCCAAGAAGAGGTACCTTGTAGGAAGGTCCAGAGCCCGGAGGTTTGGTTCATTGGCTGAAGTTTTGATATGTTGCTGTGTTGGACAGAGGCAAAGCATGTAATACTGCTCAGGGGACAAAGGATGGAAGAGGAGCAAGCCTCCACATCATCATCCCACTCAAAACTCCTTCAGTGGCTCTCTGGGGACAACAGCATTACTAAAACCCTACATTGGCATTCAAACTATCATTTCTATTTTTATTATTCATGTTCTGATCTGTATACTCCACGTATTCCTGCCAAACGGAGCCTCTGAAACTGGCCTCCTTGTTCCTACTTTCATACCTTGCGTGCTATTCCCTCCAATGGTAACACCGCTCTTCCAGTACCCTGTACTACATTTTAAAAATCTTTAAGTTCTGTCTCAAATGATACATCCTCCATGAGATTTTTCCTCATTCTTCCCAATGGTTCCTTTTTCTCACCTGCCCAGCTAATGTTACTGTTTTTTCTTTGAACTCCAAGAGGTTTGTATTAATATCTCTGGTTTAGTATTTAACTCTGTGTTTTGTGTTTTTACTTGCATGTACATGCATGTGCTTGTCTTATCTCCTCCACCAGACACATGCTCCTGGGAGGCATAACTGGGTCTTACTCATCTTTTTAGCTCCAGCAGTGCCTAGCTCAGTACAATAAAAAAAATACACATGATTACAAGTAGTTGAATTGAGGTGTAATAAAAAGATCCTAAATGCTAATTTAGATTGTTTAGCATAAGACTACCATGCATGAACTTTTGGGTGGTATCCAGTGTGTCCATTTCAGGATGCAAGAGAGAGGCAAAATCTGAGTCTCAGTATATAAATGAGATCAGGTAATGTTTCAAGAAAGAAGTGTCGTCCTTCAAAGAGTTTACAATCTAGTAATGCGACAGCATATAATGTTTTCCACAAGAAAAGTTTACTGCATGACTGGAAGTTTTTATCTGAAGATTAAGGAACTGAGCCTGGTATGGTGGCCCATTCCTGCACTTTGGGAGGCTAAGTAAGGAGGATCCCTTGAGCCCAGTAGTTCAAGACCAGCCTGGGCAACATAGTGAGACCCATCTCTACAAAAAATACAAAAATTAATCGAGTATGTGTTAGACCCCTATAGTCCCAGCTACTTGGGAAACTGAGGTGGGAGGATCACTTGAGCCACCTCACTCCAGCCCCGGCAACGCAATGCAATGAGATCCTGGGATTTTTTTGGTTTGGTTTGGTTTGGGCTTTGTTTGTTTGTTTTGAGACAGTCTTGCTCTGTTGCCTAGGTTGGAATGCAGTGGTCTGATCTCAGTTCACTGCAAACTCTGCCTCCCAGGTTTGAGCAATTTTCCTGCCTCGTCCTCTTGAGTAGCTGGTACTACAGGCATTCGCCACTATGCCTGGCTAATTTTTTGTTTTTTATTTTTGTTTTGAGATGGAGGCTTGCTCTGTCACCAGGCTGGAGTGCAGTGGTGCAATCTCGGCTTACTGCAACCTCTGCCTCCTGGGTTCAAGCAATTCTTCTGCCTTAGCCTCCTGAGTAGCTGGGACTACTGGCGCATGCCACCACACCCAACTAATTTTTGTAGTTTTAGTAGAGATGAGGTTTCATCATGTTGGCCAGGCTGCTCTCAAACTCTGACCTCAATGGATCCACCCGCCTTGGCCTCCCAAAGCACTGGGATTACAGGCCTGAGCCACCATGCCTGGCCCTGTTTTTTTAAAAAAAGAACTTGGTTACATGAGATGTTATTAGATGTTCATTGTTTTCCTTTTTAAACCAGAACTTCAAAATTGTTTTAATATGTATCTACCTATAACTTAGAAGTTCATCACAATTAATGATGAAACAGTAAAAGCATTTCCTTTGAAGGCAAGGGATTATTGCCTCTATTTAACATTGAAGGTCTTTGCCAATGCAGTTTTAAAAAGAAGAAAGGGAAATGAAGATTGAAAAGAAATAAACAAGACGGACGCAGTGGCTCACGCCTGTAATCCCAGCACTTTGGGAGGCCAAGGCGGGTGGATTACAAGGTCAGGAGTTTGAGACCAGCCTGGTCAACATGGTGAAACCCTGTCTCTACTAAAAATACAAAAATTAGCTGAGTGTGGTGGCAGGCGCCTGTAGTCCCAGCTACTTGGAAGGCTGAGGCAGGAGAATTGCTTGAACCCAGGAGGTGGAGGTTGTAGTGAGCCAAGATCACACCACTGCACTCCAGTCTGGGAGACAGAGTGAGACTCTGCCTCAATTTAAAAAAAAAGAAAGAAAAAAGAAACTGTTGTTTACAGATAGTAGGCAATACTAAAATGTTTATAGGCAACACAGACAATGACTACATTGGAACTGTTCAAACGAGTTCACCAAAGTTACAAGATGCAAGATCAATATGCAAACATCAATTGCATCAATCAATTAGAAAATATAAGTGTGAAAAGATGACATTCTAGATGCCACCAAAAATACCTAGGAATAAATTTTTAAAAAGTAAAGTGTTCCTGGTGGAGTGGGAGCAGGAAAAAAAAATTTAAGATAATAAATAAATTAAAAGATTTTTTAAAAAGAAAGGTATACCTTGTGTGCAAAAATATAAAATTTTTTTGAAGTACATAAAAGAAATATAAATAAAAGCAGAGATATACCATGTCTGTGAACGAGAAATACAAAATAGTGAAAATATCATTTTCTTTACAAACTAATGTTAAATTCATTAAAATTCCAAACAAAATCTCTATAGAATTCTTCAAAGGGCATGACAGAGTTATCCTAAAGTTCATATGAAACATAAAACACTAACAAGAGCCAAGGCATTCCTGAAGAAGAATGAGGAAGGAGACTTACCCTCATAGCCATCAAGTCTTAACACTATGAGAACTAAAGCAATGTGGGACTGGTGCTGAGACAGATACACATAACATAGTGACAACGAAGTAAGCCAGCAAGCAGATTCACATATACTGGAGAGCTTAATCTATAGCCGAGAGAAAGTTACATATTCAATAAATGCTGCTGAAACAATTAGTTTCCCGTGTGAGAAAAGATGTGATTAGATCCCTGCCTTGTACTATACATCAAAATTAATCATAGATTGATTAGAAACATAATTGGGAAAAGCAAATTTTAATGATTTTGCAACAATATTTTTATAATCTTGGGATATCAAAGGATTTTTTTAGACAAGATATAATTCACATATCACATAATTCATCCATTTAAAGTGTATAATTCTTTAAATTTTTTTTTAATTTTTTTTTTGTTTTTTTTTTTTAAGACGGGGTTTCACCATGTTGATCAGGCTGGTCTTGCTTGAACTCCCGATTTCAGGTGATCCACCCGCCTTGGCCTCCAAAGTGCTAGGATTACAGGCGTGAGCCACTACGCCTGGCCTAAAGTGTATAATTCAAGGCTTTTCTGCATATTTATATTACATTACTAATTTCTTGAATTGTGACAAATGTACATAACATAAAATTGGCCATTTTAACTATTTTTAAGCATACAATTCAGTGACATTAAATATATTCGTGGCCAGGGTGGTGGATCACACCTGTTATTCCAGCACTTTGGAAGGCCAAAGCGGGTGGATATACCAAAAACCATGAACTATGCATTTTAAAAGGTGAATTTATGATATGTGAAATATGTCTTAACAAAACTGTATTTAAAAAGAAAAAGAGAAAGAGAATGGTTTAGTAAAGCTCCATCAGTCAGCTTCAACCATTATCAAATCATGGCCAGTCATTTCATCGATACCCCTACGCCACCACTCTACCCCATCTCCCACACTGGATTATTTTTAAAGTAAATTCCTGATATTATTTCTTCTGTAAATACTCAGTTTATCACTCCAAAAGTAAGGACTCTTCGAAAAAAAAAAATCGATACTGTTATCACATTGAAAAAAATTTTTAAATAAGACCTTAGTCCAGGTGCTGTGGTTCATGCCTGTAATCCCAGCACTTTGGGAAGCTGAGGTGGGCGGATCACTTGAGGTCAAGCATTCTCGACGAGCCTAGCCAACATGGTGAAACCCCATCTCCACTAAAAAAAAGTAAAACAAAAAAATATGAAAATTAGCCAGGCATGGTGGCACGTGCCTGTACTCCCAGTCACTCCAGAGGCTGAGACATGAGAATTGCTTGAACCAGGAAGGTGGAAGTTGCAGTGAGTCAAGATTGCACCACTGCACTCCAGCTTGGGTGACAGAGTGAGCCTCTGTCTCAAAAACAACAACAAAAAAACAGACCTTAATATAATCAAATATTCTGTGTTCACATTTTCCCAGTTGTCTCATTAATGTGAATTTTTAGCAGCTGCTTTTTCAAATTAAAATCACACATTACATTTGTTATTTGTCTCTTGCATTTCTGAGTATCTATAAGCTTTTTCTCCTTTTATTTTTCTTGCAATTTATTTATTGAAGAAATAGTTGTTTGTCATGTACAGCTTCCTGTATTTTGGATTTTGCTGATTGCATCTCTGTGGTATCATTTAACATGATCATGATTACACAGTAATTAGCTTTTAGATGTTTGTTGTTAATTATACTATACATACGATTTAATTCACAATTCACCAACGTAGTCACTGCTCCTTTAGCTCTTACCAGCCACCACATCCTTTGAAGCATGCTTGACACAAATTATCTCATTTAGTCTTTATAATAACCCCATGTAGTATTATTATCCTCAGTTTAAGAGATAAAGAAAGTAAGTCTTAAGAGAAGTTATAGAAACTTGGCCACAGTCAATCTGCCAGTAGAGATCTGGGTTCAGACTGTCTGATGTTAAAACCCATGCTGTTATCTGTTATATGATAATATACCATCACATTTCCTGTGCCTGTGGTTTGTGGTGGTTGCTTTTAATCAGCTCTAAGAAGCAGTCTTTCAGTCCATCCAAAGAATATACTTTCACATTTCATCTTTAACATTTAGGAGGCTTTCAGCTTCAAGTAACAGAAAACTACATCTCAAATTGACTCAACAATAAGGATATTTTTATATTATATAACAAGAGATCCAGAAGAAGGGCAGCACTGGGGCTGGTTGCCGACTGACTCAACAACAACATGGCAGACCCAGATTCGTTGTATCTCTTTACAATGACCAGAACTGGGTCACATGCCTCCTCCTAAACTCTTAGAGGCCAGTTAAGAAGATCCTGTTCCTCTTGCCTACCATAGACTTGAGAGTGTACCTCTCAGAGGCTAATGGGGTCACCTTTCCTACTGTGTAAACACTGATATAGGCTTCTATAAAAAAGAAGAGGGTGGACTGAATGTTGAATAGACAACCAACAATATCTACTACCTGTTCCTAATGAGGTATGTTACACATTCCAATATGAATAATTAAAATACTTCGTTATAACTGCCACATTGAACTTTTTTACTTTCTGCCATGTGACAGTTACTGTCAATATATCAGTTTCCTCATTTACAGGAATAAATGGCTACACAAGATGATCTGTAAGGTCCCTTGCAGCTCTAGGAGTTCTGTTTCAATTTTACATTTTCATCTTCTAAATAGAAAGTAGAAAAATCAAACATACAAGATACAGTCCAGAAATGATCATGGGTTTTAACCGATAAGTCATAGGCATATTGACATCCTTTCTCCCTTAAAATAAGATATAGGCATTAAATATAAAGAGCTAAACAGGCCAGGCTCAGTGGCTTACGCCTGTAATCCCAACACTTTGTGAGGCTGAGGCGGGCAGAGCACGAGGTCAGGAGATCGAGGCCATCCTGGCTAACATGGTGAAACCCCGTCTCTACTTAAAATACAAAATTTAGCCGGGTGTAGTGGTGGGTGCCTATAATCCCAGCTACTCAGGTGCCTGGGGCAGAAGAATCGCTTGAACCAGGGAGGCGGAGGTTGTAGTGAGCTGAGGTGCACCACTGCACTCCAGCCTGGGAGGCAGAGTGAGACTCTTGTCTAAAAAAAAAGAGCTAAACAGACTGGAACTGGTAATATCTTTCCATTAAGTTTTAACATTAGGTTAAATGTTCTACCTTCCTCACTCATCCGTTAGTACCTTTCAGCTTCCAACACTTATCATACAGATAGAGACTGATCAGAAATTCCTTTTCACAACTCACTTTCTTTATTTTGGTGTCAGCATCCTCCTGGAGAATGACTCTGGGGCTGTAGGATAGCCCTTGCATCTCTGCTTTGACTGCCAACTATGACTTTAACTTAAATCATTTCCCTGTCTGCTTCCTTTCATGACTAGTTTCTGAAGGAATACTCTGTTTTATCACATGTAGCCATTTTCCTTGTGAGGAATCACAGGAAACCAGAGAGAAATACTGTACACTATCGGGCATCTTTGCTATGCTTTCTTCCAATATGAATGAAATTACTTTATATTTTCAGCATATGCCTGCTATCAGCTTTCTCTGGGAAAACTGCTGGCTCCATCTGTAAGCAGTCCTGTTCTTATTTAACAGAAGACTATAACTGTAACAAATGCACAACATAAAAAGGTGAAAGGCATCCTATTGGTTACACAGGACATTCGGATTAACAAATGTACAGGAAAACTTGGGAACGTGACTTAAAATAATTTGGTCACACCCCATTTCATTTAACTCTTTCTGGCTCAGATTTGTCATTCTGACAGGAGGCCCAGGGTACAGCCCATTACCACAATTAATCGCAGAAACAACACTGGTCTCTCAATCAGCAGCTACTGTGGGCCAGTGTTCATCTTGCTAGTTTCCAGAGTTTTAGAGGATTAACTTTATTTTCTGGTTCAACCCATCTGCTGGGAAAGGTATGGCCCTACTTTGAAATGTGCAAAGGAGAGTCAGTGCTGGGGGTGTCCACAGTTGGAAGGAGAGAAGACAGGCTTACTGACCACCTGGATGACCTTGAATCAGTCACATCACCTCTCTGGGCCTCTTATAACTATCATTGGGGAAAAAAATATCCTCACTCTGCCTATCTCACAAGGGTTCTTGTAAAAATCAAATGAGAATGCGAATAGGAAAGTATTTTCATAAATGCAAACCAGTGTTATCATTTTCAGATATGGAATTTCCTCTGCAGCACTTTTTTTGGCCACATGATTAATGCGCACCTCGTGCCGGCCAGACTATACAGCTGTCTCACCTCTTTTCACATTTTGCCTAAAATGTCATACAGAGATTACACCAGCCATGCTGCATCCATCCCTTTGGTTCATTTTTCTCCAATCACATCTCTGAATGCAAATCCCACCATCATGTGAAACACTGCATAGTAGCAACTTGCAAAACTGAACGAACCTTAAATTGTCAAGATAAGGCCCACAAGCAAAGGTTATGCCCAAAATATGCTGCAAGGGTTCAAGAAGGAGAGAGAGAACACATCTAATTAGAAAAGGCTTCTGGAAGGTAAATCCAGATGCCATGTGTTTTCATAATGTTGGTCTTTGTCCTATGTCACCCCCCACTACTGTCATGCTTCAGAAACTTGAGGTTATTTTCTCTATCTTTGGAGCTCTCAAGAACCTGGCAGAGAGAACCTCTTAGGGTATATTCAGGGATGAAGTGAACCAGCTCGACGACTAACAAACTCAGTGGATTTTGACATTTACCCAGCCCAACAAGGCCCGACTATCTTTAGGTTAGCACGTTATATAGGACTTTCCCGGTCCAAGAACTTCCTCGGAACCCTCAAGGAAGGAACTTTCACTGAGTAGGCACTAAGTACCAGACCCTAAGTGCTGGGTCGCTTAATCCTCACAACACTTCTTCAAGCTTTAAGCCTGTTTTACAGTGAGGACGCGAAGGCTCAGACAGGCTGTTGTCCGGTCTCACATAAGTGAAGCCACCACTGCGCGTGGGCTCTCTGGGCCCTAAGGCCATCACCCTACAGCCTTGCTAACCTCCACCTAGCTGACCTCCGTCCCTCCCTAGGCAGCCAACCCAACCACTCTCTCCTCTTACGCCCCGGCCCAGCCAGGAAAACCTGGGGCCGGCGGCGTCTGTACCTGAGCCCGCTCTCCCGGCGGCTTCCACGTCAGGATGCCCGCTCACCCGAATGCTCCTCAGAAGCTTGCAAGCCTTTGCCACCCACGCGCTCCGGAGCCCCGAGCGTCTCCAAAGAGCCTGCTCAGCCTTCCCGCCGGCCCAGGTGCGTCCTCCCCTGCAGAGCAGTGACTGGGGGGTTCGGACCGCGATTCCAGGAGGGGACACCTGCCGGGGGAGGGCGGAGCTGGGCGGGTGGAGGCGAGGGGAACTCCGGGGCCGCGGGAAGCGCTGTCGGGAACTACGCTTCCCAGCCTGCTCCGCTGCAGCCGCGCGCCCCGGCGCCGCGCCCGGCCGGGAGCCGCCTGTTGATCACCGCGCTCGCCCTGGCCACGGCGCCGCCCCTGCTCTACCGACCCCGCTCCACCGGGGCTGACGGACTGACTGCCCGCATCGCCGGCTCCGGGATGAGCGCACGGACGGGTGAGCGCGCTGGGGACGGGTGGGCCTGCCCCGGCCAGCCGCTGTCTGCAGCCCCCGGTGCTGCAGCGCGGTGGCCGCCGCGCCCTCCCTGCCTGCCGGAGGATGCTCCGCGGCGTCGGCGCTCGGCCAGGCGGGAGCGCAGAGCCCTGCCGCCTCTCGCCTCTAGCCTCCCGGCTCGGCCGGCTGCGCGGGGAGACCAGGCGCTGCGCGCGGGCGGTGCGGGCGGAAGGCGCCCGCCGGGTTGTGGATCCCGCGCCCTGCACTGCGGTGCTGCAGCCTCTGCAGCCCGCTGGGCCGCGGCGGGGAGGGCGCGGTCTCCTGTCTTCCCAGGCTGCGGGGCTTTATTCTTCCACGCCGAGCTTTGTTCCCTACTTCCCCCATCCTGTGCATGTTTGAGGAGCTCCTGGAGCGGTAGGCATCTCCCTGCCTCGTTCAGCAGGCGATGGGGAGGGGTGGACTGGCCGGCCTCTTTCCTGAGATCGCTGGAGCTGTCACTCGCAGGGCGTTTCAGCCTCCCAGAAAGCTGCCTCGAGCGGATCCTCGAGAGCCTTATTATTATTGTTATTATTTTCCTGGTTAAACTAATGGTGGTATGTACTCCCTTCACGCTTCATAAATTTTTCCTGTTGACCTTCGGAAATGAACGTGGATTTTTAAAATAATAATAAAAGGCTCCTAATGGGAATTTTTAGAGTATTCAGAGGTGGAAAGGTGATGCCGTCACAATGCAAATTAGCAGTGAAGGAGGCCGTGCTTGCTGCAGCTTCATCTGTGCCCATTACATATCTGAATCATGAGCCATTTGGAAAAGGAATGAAAAGAATATCGGGGGAAGGTATTTTAAAAACCAGGTTCTCCTCTTAGCTCGACCATTCAGGAGCTGAGGGACCTGGGCAAGTCCCTTCACCTCTCTGGGCCTCTGCATATAATAAAGTGGGGCGTTTTGGCTAAACGATTTGTAAACCTCTGTTCTTCCAATATTCTCCCCTCTCAGGGAACTGAAGAGATGAGTGTTTCTGTTTAACACCACTACAAAAAGCCTGATTGTGACAACAAGCAGCTCTCCCCTAGTGAAGAGGAAAGATTTTAAAGAGCTTCAGCAATGTGATTTTTTTAAAGATAAAACTGATTTTCTCTATCATCAGTCTAACCCAATAAATATGCATTGCAATCATTTTAATTTTTTTAAGGTACTTTACTTTGATGGGCAACAAAGTGATGGGGTTTGCTTTTGTTTTTGATTTGCTGAAGGTGAAGTGATGGGATCAGCAGATAAAGGGTTAGTGGCTCCCTAGGGCTGGGCTTGAATGGTCAAATGTGGTCAGCAAGGAGGTGGGGGAGGAAACCCCAGCAAGAAGTAACCAGGGTGTATATACACAAAAAAGAGAAGATGCATACTGATGGGCATTGTTTGAAAAAGAAATACACAATAGAAGGAATGAGACAATCAGAAACTCTGCAAACCCTAACATAACAGCGCTCTGCAAACCCTAACATAGCAGTTGAATAAGGCAAGGACTTACCAACTAGTCCAAAACCTTTGAGTGAAAGGTGGTTGGGGAATAGGATTTTCATATTATTTCAAAGTATCACACCACAGATTGCTCAAGGGAAATTTGTCCTTGCAGTGAAGAGGTGAGGAGGTCACTACCAGAGCCAGGTGACCAAGTTTAGCAGCATAGACTGTGAGTCTCCTGTTGTAAAGCAATAAGGAAGCATAACTTCACCTCTGTAGTATTCCTAGCAAAAAGACTTGACAATGCAGCAGAGCAAATGGGGGACAACTACTGTAGATTAAAATCCTCAAGTGATACAACAGTGAATGAGAAGTGTGAACTTTGAATCCTAGACGAGAAAAAAAAAGCTATAAAAGACAATTTTGAGACAGTTGGGTGTGTTTGAATATGGATTGCATGTGAGATGATATTATGGAATTGGTGTTAATTTTCTTAGGTGAGATAATGGTTCATTCTCTGATTATGTAGAAGACCAGGCCATCCTTAGTCTTTGGAGATGTGGATATTAGAGGTAAAGTGTCATGACATCTGCAACTTTCAGCTGTGTCAGAAAAAAAAAGTATAGGGGTAGCACAGCAAGTTCAGGAACTTGGCAAATGTAGCAGAATGATGACAGTTGGTGAATCAAGAAGAATACAAATATTATTGTGCTATTCTTTTAACTTTTCTATAGATTTGAGCTTTAAGAAGTGGGGGAAGTCAGCCAGGCGTGGTGTCTCACGCCTGTAATCCCAGCACTTTGGGAGGCCGAGCGCATGCCATTGAACTCCAGCCTGGGTAACAGAGCGAGACTGCATCTCAAAAAAAAAAAAAAAAAAGGGAGGGAGTCAATAAAATAAATAAGCAAATAAAGAGAAAGTGTTGTAGAGGACTGGGTGGTTCGAGACAAATAGCTGCAGTGACTCTGTGGGGAATTTCTTGGCTTCACCTTCCCAAGATTGAAATCACCTGTTGGAGGTGCAAGTGGGGGGATGTTCCCTTTTTTGGTTTATCTTGGATACGCTCAATCATTTATGCTTAAGATACATCATTCTCTAGCTTCAATCTCAAAGTATTAGTAATTCTCCAAACCTTAGAAATTCTAGCTCTACCCAAGAACCATTCTGAAAGCGCTGTCCCTTTCCTCTCTATGTCCAAGATCTGTGTCAGTGTGTAAGGAAGTTTGAGAACATAGGCACTAATTCATTTCATTTAGAGTTAGGGAAGTGTTAGAGAGGAAACGATTTAGCTTTGTGATAGAGCAGAAGTTGTGGGGTTTCCTTTCATTCTTTTGTGTGTAAATCATATACAACCAAATGTTTTCCTTATAGACTATAAGTGATTCAAAGAGGTTCATAGAAGGCATGTGCAGAAGAGACTCCCTGTTAACAGACCACAAAAACAGAATCAACTCTCAATAATAAAACGCTTAATCTCTTACGCAGAATCCTTTGCTGCAAAGATATTTTTGCTTTACCTGGATTGTATGTGTATGTGTATATATAAAAATATGAATTTAAAGTACACATATTTACTTGCATGGATGTCTACGTGTATCTGTGAATCTTTCAGTCAGTATTCCCCAAAATAAATAGAATGTTAATGGGTTACAAGACAAAGAAAATGCCTAGCCAGATGTGGTAAACACTAGAGTAAACAAAGCTGGAAAAGTTTGTTTAGTCTTGACTTTTCAGAGCCTTTCATGGTTAACGATCATTGTATATGGGGATGTAAATAGGGTAGGAATGTCTATAGTCTGTGATATATAATGTTTCCCAAACTCTGTGCAAAAAAATGAAAACTATCTTGAGGGACTACCGTTACATGGAACCGACTTTGAGAAGCTGCCTTAAATACATTTTTGAGTGAAAGGTCAGGACATGTGAATAGATGTATAATTTTTAAGTGTTTGTGCTTCCCATTACCTATAGATTAGAATTCAAACTTCAGTTTCTGGTTTTAATGGAGCATAACAGTTTGACCCCAGTCTACTTTTTCAACCTAAATTTCCCATCTTTATTCCTATAAACTCTCCTGCTTAGTCCTTTGTTGTATACTATGAACCATTTTTATTTTCAGTACACCAAAAAATCAATTATAGGTAACTTTCAGGTGCCATGGTCAGGTAAAATGAGAGGCACTTTTCTACTATGGCTTTTCCATGGATTGGGATAGCCACCTTTCCTCCCAAAGCCATTTTGAGTTCCTTGGCCTTGGTCCCATGTTTCAGCACAACCTTCCTTAAAGCTGTGATTTCATGCTATTTCTGCTTTTATGATTTGCCATCCTGTTTCAACATCAAGGCTGCCTTACTAATTACCCTAATTACCTCTTTCACATGTGTCACCAGTATTCCTGGGTTCCCCTAGTGACAGCCAGGTAGGGTGGGGATGAGAAGGTCAGTTTTAGGACTGTGAGTTGCTGGAGCTCATGTAACAGAGAACAAGGACAGCCATGCCATTTCTGGACATGAGGAAAAAGGAGACAACCTGGGGGCATAAGCCCTAAGAAAGGACCAGGAGGCCCCTCATCAGAGTGGTTAGAGGCGTGTGGAGTGCAGTGAGCTGGGCGGCTATTCAAGCAGTGTGCATGGGGACAACTATCCTCACTGTTGATAAACAACCATTCTGACTGGGCAGTGTCCATTTTATACCAGTTGCTAAATGTTTTGCACATCATTTAGGTAAGCACTCACAAGTCAGGGTACGTGGAGCATCCATAAGTCATAACAAAGCCTAGATCAAAACCTAGCTGGTATACAGACGCCAAAGAAAGAGACAAGATGAGTGAGTCAAAGACCACATAAGCAAGCAGAAGAAAGGAGTACACATGAATCAAAAGACAAAAAGCAGGAAACTGGAGGTGCCAATCAGGAAATTAGAAGCCCGTAAGTTCCCAAAGGCAAGAGGAAGGAACATGGTTAAAAGCAACAAGCAGTTAAAAACCAGAAAGGCACAGATCTCCAAGTGGAAGGCGAGGAGGTAGATAGAGGTCAAGAAACAGGAACTCCTCTAAAAACAGAAAAGAAGGCCGAACACAGGGACAAGGCAACAGCGGGAAATAGTACCCGCCATGAGAATTAGAAACCAAGAGGCAGGCTGGGCAGATAGCAAGACTTTTTGGCTTTTTGGCTACTTCCTACCCAGGTGGAAATCTATCTCATAGCTTGGCCAGCTTA